GTAAATATTAGTTTTTCTGGAGTTATTGATGAGCTTCTGTCTTTATAAATCCCAAATTTTACACAACAAATGTCGTCTTGTGCATATTCACAGCAGATTTCCTTGTGTCAGTGTTACGTAACCACATGTGAGACGAGAAGCCAGCGAGACAAAACAAGAGCTGCCCACAGATGTGACTGGACTAACGGCTGTGTCAGTAGCAGAAGCTGCTTTTAATGAAAAATGCCTGAAACCAACCAGTCAATCAGCTGTCAGAGCCGGATGTCTGCTGATGGACCAGAGCTGTGTTGAGCTGCAATTATTGTGTTACTAGTTGTAAAAGTACATCACAACTTAAGTCTGAGCACAGGTGTAGACTCACAAATGCAGAGTCAGGTTTCTGGTTTATTATGTAATGTGAAAAAAAAAAACTTAAAATCTGAAGAAGAACCTTAAAAATTCATTTCAGCATCTTTTGTCTCTAATTATATAATTCTGTTCTAAGTGTATTTGTAAGTTTGGCTTTGGGGTTTGTGCCTTTAGTTAATGTGATTTGCTCTAAACTTCTTCTTTTTTTGCCAGTTTTACAAAAAACATGACAACACATTAAATGCTGAAGGTTGTTTGGTAATATCTCTCACTTATCTTATTTCAGGAAGTACAAGCCTCCTACTTCACCACATGGAGACGTTTATTGTGAAGAGGTGGACATTTTGTTTGTTTGTTTGTTTGTTTACTTTAAAGCTACAGAGAAAATTCTACTTTTTAATTTTAAGTGTATTTGTCTGATTTTGCAGAAGTCATCACCTGAGTTTCTTCCTTGCGGCGGCCATCTTGTTCTAAATGTTTAAAAAAAGGGGCGCGCCACCAAAGCTGCTCTTCCATTGGTTCATGGAGTAGGTGGGTTCTCAAATATGATTGGATTACAAATGTGTCCTGATTTGTTGGTTTAAACCAGGAAGGAAGCACCTGTCCTGTATATGTGGGCATCGTCAGAGAGAAGTGAAGGAGTAGTTTGTTCATGAAGGC